TATATACGTGTATAAACGAAGACAAACTTTTATTTTTTAATAAAATTTATTTATAACTTCTCGTGTGTTTGAAAATGAAAATTATGAAAATTCAGAAAATGAAAAGATTTGAAATTGAAAATTCAGTAACATAAACATTGAAAAATTGAAAATGTTAAAGTAAATTCAGATACATTGACTGCCCCTCCAGCGAAACATATATGTAATAATATTAATTAAGATTAAATGGTTCTTTTTTTTCTTTGGTGTTTGTCAGTGTATTTGTGTCTCATGAAAAAGTGGTTGACATTATGTTAAAAGGTTTTAGTAAATCTATTGATTCAATTATATTTCCATTTTGTATTTCAAAAGTTTTAAGTTATGTTTGGAGATAACTTTAAATGGTCCTTCATACGGGAGTTTAAGATTAAAGCTGTGAAAATATATATAATTGGCGCTTTGTAGCTGCTGAAGCGATTTTCCAATTTGTGGTTTTGCCTCTTGATGTTTTTCCAACAAATCGAGGGATCTACAATTGATACTAAGCCACCTCCAAACGGCTGATGGTTTTTTATGAAGAACTTATGAATAACTTTAACAAAGACATATTCAGAAGTACTTAAATTTTTAGGAATGAAACTATTTTCTTTATTATGATGTATTAGTTTCGATCTAACAAGTAAGAAATGTTTTCTAAATTTAGAAAGAATTTCATTTGTATTTTCAATTTCGTTATTGCGGTTTTCAAAGTTTTGTGAAATCTTTCAATCATTCCATTTGACTGTGGTTGATATGAAGAAGCGTGTATTTTGTGCGAACCTAATAATTTTGTTTATTCATTAATTAATTTTGAAGCGAGTTGTGTTCCTTGATCTGCCGTTATATTGAATGGAATTACGAAACGGAAAACATAATTTTAAATAAATGTAGTTGCAACAGAAACCGCTGAAATGTTTTTAGTGGATATGCTTTCCGGCCGTCGAGTATGTTTGTCAATGATTGTTAATATGTATCGTTTATCTTTTGCAACTGGAAGAGGTCCTACTGTAGACTTTTGACAGTTCATGCAAGATGATGTCCAACTATTAATTTCTTGACGCATATAAGGCCAAAAATATTTACATTGAATGAGACGTCGAGTTGTTCGAGAAAAAATTAATTTTCTCAAAAATATTTTTTCTCATTGAATTACGAGCATATGGTCCAAAAGGTGTTTGTGTAACATCGCATCAAATATTAAGATTTAGAATAGGTATATTTCTTTTAAATTACTATTAGCATTTGGATCTGAAATAATATTTTTAAGTATTTCGTCTTTTTGTTGTTCTTCATGAAGATATTGAAAATTTGTCTCTTGTTTAAATTGAATTAATTTCTGGAATACGAGAAAGAGTAACGACAATTTTTTTTTTTTTTTTTTTGTATGTATTTAATATCAGTAGTAAATTGCAATATATTCTAAATGTCTTATTTGAGGAGGAGATCTATCTGCTTTAGAATTTGATCAGTGTAAACAGTGAAAACTTTACCCGCGAAAAAATGTAATCATATATTGCCAAAAGTTCTCTATCGAATGTTGAATGATTAATTTCAGTTGGAGTTAATTTTCGCGAAAAATATATATGCTAATGGTTCTAGTGTGTTTTTACTCTTTTGTTGTAAAACAGCTCCAATAGCAACATTCGAAGCATCTACTGCAATTGATAATTAATCGTTTTTGTCAAAATGTGTTATTGTTTTTTGTACGGAAAGTTTTTTAACATTTTCAAAAACTTTTTCGGTTTCATCGGTTCAATTTAATTCTTTTAGTTTATGTTTAATTGTATATGTTAACATTTCAGGACAGCAGAGGACTTCATTCTGCTACTAAAATGTTTAATATACCAATGATAATAATTTACCATTCATAAAAATTTTTGTAACTTGTGAATCCGCAGCGGTTTTTCAAGCTCTAAAATTGTTTCAATACTTTCTAGAGAAGGTCTGATATCTTCACTTGAAATTTCGTAGCTAAGAAAATTTAATTTTTTTGTTCCAAAAATACATTTAATGTTTAAATTGTAGCTTTAAAGTCTTTTAGATACTGATTTTAAATGTTCAACATGTTGATCTTCATTGTCACTAACTACTAGAATATCATCGATACTTCATTAATGAATTGCTGAAATGTTTGAGCACTGCTTTTAAGTAAAAAAAAGGCAAGGTATTGTACAAATTCAGACATTCCGAAAGGCGTAGTTATTGCTGTTTTGTGTGTATCTTCCTCAGCCATTCGTATTTGATGATATGCACGAACTAAATCAATTTTTGAAAATATTGTGTTATCTTTTAAATCAATATTTCAATCGTAGATGTGAGGGAACGCATATCGATCTGGAATAGTTAGAATCTCCTATAATCGCCAGATGGTCTCCAATGATTTGATTCATTTTTTGGAATTAAATGAAGAAAATATGCAGTATGTGAATTTGATAGTCGACAAATGCCAGTTTTAACTAAAAATTGGAATTCTGTTTCAAGACAACGAGGTTTAGAAAAAGGAAGAGTTCCTTTTGTTTCAATTCTGCGAAACGTATGGTGTTGCACTTGTTTAGTGTAATCTGGTTCACAAGTAATGGATGGAAATTCATTTAAAATATTGGTAAAGTGAGAAAATGCCACAAAAACCAGTAGATCCAGAAATTTTAAATTTAATTGTTAAATGTTATTTCTTTATTTTTGATATCTACTGAAATTTCAAATTTTTCTAAAAAGTTAGCACCAACAATTGGAGTTGGAAGATCGTCAATAATTGGAATTTCGAAATCTCTTCTTAAACCTAAATCAAGTTTTAAAAGTTTAGTTCCAAATGCTTCTGCTTTAGATCCGTTTGCAGACGAAAGTTTAAAATCAGAATTTCATTTAAATGGTTTGATTTTTGAAATTCAATCAGAAAATTTAATTTGTTAAATTTATCGTTAATAAAAAGGCGTCATTCAGCCACCGTCATAATGGAACGTTTTAATTTAAAGAATCTGCATTTGAAATATTTGGTTTTGGTTTATAAGCTTGGTTGAACACATTTGAAGGCATTATTCTTAAATTTTTGAAGGCATTGGGTGTATGCATCGATTCGTGCGGTTTTCTAAGAGAGGGCTCTACTAGTATTATATCATCTGTGGCTATATTCATTTCAAAGGTACTGTAATTTATTTTATTTTAAATAACAAATTAAGTTGAAATTATTTGTTATTTTATTGCTTCGATGCGTCAATGTTACTGCAACTGTTGTTTCAGTTTCAAGATGGTATTGAAAATTGAAATTGTAAGGACAACCGTAGAGTTCAGTAAAATTATTTGTTAGTTTGAATAAAATTCGATGAGCCAGTTTTATTAATTATAGTAATTAATCTAACTTTTATTTTTTATAAATTTTATTTATAACTTCTTATGTGTTTGAAAATGAAAACTATAAAAAAAACTTCAAAAAATTAATAATTTTGAAATTGCAAATTCAGTAAAATAATAAAACTGAAAAATTGAAAAATAATAAGTTATAAATGTAGAGAGATGTTTTAGAAATTAAAAAGCCAATAAGTCCATTGTTACGCGTGCTGTGCGGTACCATGTGTCATGCAAGTTAAGCTCTTGCATTTTGGGCAAAAAAAAAAGTTTGATATCACCGCACCGTAGCGCTCACCATTCACAGTTACGTTACGATTCGTATCATCTTTGAAGAAGTACGGTCCAATGATGCCACCAGCCCATATACCGCACCAAACTGTAACTTCTTCTGGATGCATTGGCAGCTGTCGCAATGCTTCTGATTATTTACGCACCCATTAATTAAAAAATGAGCTTCGAAGCACGCGCGGAAAAAGCGCGCGTTGGACTTTTGTAACGGAGCAAGCATATTGATAATAAAATTCAATAATTTGAAGGCGATTCATGGTTAAATTAAAGACAAAACTGAAGATGTTTGACAGTGATACAAAAAATTAAACGTTCGTATGCTGTTTAAACCAGTGTTGCCAAAAAGAAAATAGCTAAAAAAAAAAATCACCCTTTATTTGTGTTGATCGCACTTTGTAAGAAGTTTCGGCTATTAAATATACCAATATATATATATAATTTCAAGTGAATAAACAAAAACAAAACAATTCGCATTTTCAAAATACATGTTTAATAGTAAGAAATATAGATGATAGTACCCCCAAGCTGTGGTAATAATATATTGTCGATTAATTTACTCTTCATTTTTAATGGTTATTTTAATTTTTTTATTTAAGGACAATCTATTCGTCCAGCGTGAAAGTAATATCGAATACTACCCCACATTGTACGGAAAATTCTGCTAAAGGTTCTGGACGATGTGAGAGCAGACCGAACAAATATTCAACAAAATTTGGCAAGTTTAAATATGTTTATTATTTTAATTTAAAAAAAAAATATATATATGTTTTTACTCAATAAAACCCTCTCTCAAAACCTAAAGCAGTAACAAACAATCTAACTTATGATATGAAATTACAACTTCGAACAAGTATATTTATCATACAACAAAAATTCTGTACCCTTAATTTTCCCATCTCATACAAATATTCCAGAAGATCGAAATTTGTTTGTAAAATATGAAATTGAAAATGAAAGAAAAAATTTTATATTGCCCCATTATGTTATAGTGTCAGATACACATATAGAAAAAGGTAAAAATAGATGGATTGCACACTCCAAAAGAATATTTTAAACTCAGCGTAGCCTATATGGTAAATAACTTTTTTACTTTTTTGAAATGGGTTTCTTGATGACTTGATAAATTAATGTACAGCAGGGATAGTCATACTTATCAAACGAAAAAAAGTCATAATTTAAACTCCCATTATTTTTAACAAGGAAAATTTAAACAAGATCTGTTCTATGAAAGAAAGGTCTCTGTATTTGTTGGAAACACTTCAAGGCGCATACCACAAATTGGAAAAGGAGCTGGTGCGAAAATCTCTTAAGCGGTTACAAAATCGATTTGTGTTACAACTTTTAATTACCTTTTCATTTACTTCAATTAAATTTGTTCTCACTTCACGTAATAAAGCACGCATAGCCATTTCCGCCAAGTCCAGTTTTATGTTATACATTTCCTTAAAAGACTCATGTTTCAACATGAATTTAGCAACAAATTTCCATGTTTCGATCTTCGTTTTAATTCCTATGCAGGGGTCAGTAATGGAATTCAGACACACTCTTTGAATAACTACAAGATAATATCATATATATGTACATTGTCTACCGCTTGAAATATTTACAGTAAGCTTACATTGTCCAACAGCGTAATATTCCACAACAGTTAGTTCTGACAATTCCTCCAAACAATTCCATACCATCTTATGCGAAGACTCATGTACAGAATTTATATTTTTCATTTCAGACTTCAAATTCCTTTCTTTAGAGCTAAATCGAATAAAGCAATTCATTACAAAATTTTATTCGAGCCATCATATATTTTTGCATATATACGAACATATATAATATGATAACAATGAATACTAACTTTATTTTAAAAAACATGCAGGTGTTTTGCACAGTTTCCCAGATAAAATTCAGGAAATAGCATATTCCTTGCAAATTAAATTTTGCTGCACCCGCACAGATGGTATTAAGGAAAACAGATGATTCATTCAACCAAGTAGCCAAGTTACAATAAGTACTATCCACACCGGAACCAGTACCAATGAAATCCTTTGTAAAAATGTAAGTATGTATGCATTATAAACATTTCAAAAATACATCTGCAGATACATACGATTTTATCAAAGTGATTCTGGTAACAAACAGTAAAAAGTTTCCAATCAGTAAAGCTGAAGTCTTCAAACTTGTAATAATATCTTAATTTATTTAGCCAGAGTTGAAGAAGTTTCCATGCTGTAACCTCACCACATTTTATAGCATTCGCACACACAACGAACACATAATCCTTGGAAAGATTATTTGATGATGCATCCAGTGTTGTTAGAGTTGAATAAGTCAAATTGAAATATTGGTCCTCCATTATTTCAATTAATTCCAACTAATTAAAAAGTAGTTATTTCCTCAAACCAATGCCAGAATTGACGGCTAAAATAATTTAAACTAAAATTTGTTATTGCGGGCAAATTAGATACGAATAATATCGATTGATAATAGCATATCATCGTGGATTCTTATCGATAAATTATCGACAAATGCTGGTTGATATGGGTTCTGTTCAGCGACTAGGAGAGCAGTAACAATTTTTACTTAACTTTATTGAATCGTGTTCGTTGATCCGAAACCCCAGTAAAATTAATATCGAGAGAACGAATTTCAACCAGTAAAAACAAACAAGATTGAAAAACAGCTGATTTGTAACCATATCATTGAATTTTTGTCAAAAAAAAAAAAAATATTTATATTTATAAAATAATATTAACACCTTAATATGAATGATATACCACCAAAATAAGAGCCCAAATATAATTTTGCTGAAGTTAATTCATTAAATGAGAATGTAGTGGCAGTGGATTGGAATTATCGTCCACATACCACCGAGCCCACGTTGATAAACTAGAAGTTAGGAATTATGATATGATATAATACGAAAATTGATTTTTCATTCCTTAAATTTACTAGAAATCACTTCCCACCAAATGAGCCACAGAACATTGCAAAGGTCACAGTGATGATAATGCAAGATTTTTTGTTTTTTTTTTTAGTTAATGATAATGCATTCTATTTTGTTTTTTATTTAAACAGAATCGTACGAATTAAGTAAATCGAATAATATTGTTAGTCAATATGGCCTGCTCACACGGAAAAAGAATTTCAATGTCATTTTCGTATTTCGCTCATCCTTACTGAAATTTATAGCAACAAATTGCAAGATTTTCATAAGTCTTCGCCTTTTTAGAGAACTACTAGAAAAAATATATAAATATCTTAATCGTTTGACTTTATAGCCGTCATGTAGAACTTCAGCATATAAAAAAAAAAAACAATAAATTTTGAATACAATTAGTAAATTAAATATGCTATGTAATTGTTAATTTTACTAAAACACTTTGGAAAATACTTAAAAGTACAAAAAATGAACTGTTTGAATTAATGGATTCAAATGTAACCGCCATAATAAACAGCTGTTGTACAACTTGCTGATTTATTCTTACTGAATCCTGTTCGTTGAAAACTAATTGAATTTCTTTCTTTGGGAGAGTAAGACATCATGTTAATGCCGTCCGGTATTAGACTAAGCATTCCCAGGGCAGCCAACAAACATCCGTTTGGATGCGAGTTAAAGTGAGGAGGCGAATCCCATGCGGTAGTGCGTACGGTTAGGGACCCACAGCATGATATTATGCCCGATAGACTCCAATTTTGATGACGATCACGATTTGAGGGCATGCACCTGGAATGTTCGGTCCTTTAATTGGGACTTCACCCCTGAGAAATCGGAGGAAGATGGATTCATGTGAAATATACTACAACGGAAATATAAAGGAGCCCAAATTCGGTGTCGGATTTGTGGTGGGAGCGAGTACTGGCATTCACATTCGTCTCGCCACAATCCGCATCAAAACGCAATTTTTCAATACAATGCTGATTTGCGTCCATGCAAGAGAAGAATGATATGCCCAAGGGTGCCTTTTATGAACGCTGCACCTCCACGATGTCAAAATTGTGCTTGGGGACTTCAATTGCTGGGTGGGCAAGGAAGGTATTTTCAGCCTTCACGACGAAACATGCCCAAATGGATTGAGGCTGATCGACTTCACCGGGGCCCGAAATATGACTGTCTATACTAGATTGCAGCAAATTCACCAAGCTACTTGGCTGTCTCCAGATCGAAAAATCCACAACCATATTGATCATGTTGTGATAGACGATAGACATACGGTGACCAAAGTGGTGCAGCTATCTAAAAAATAGTATAATAATAAGTTTTATCTAAAATTTAAATTAATTTCCCAAAAATCATGGTCGCCAGTTTATAGCCGCAGATATACACATTTCATTAATGCTTTAAAAATTTTATTTTCACTTATTCTTCACTATTAAATTGTACCTCACAGCGGCATTTCATCAACGATTTTTGAATGCAAAATTAATACCGCTATAATCGTGAGCAAACTTTGTGTAATTTGAGATAATTTCGACACCAGTATTGACATTGGTTGGGTCGTCAAAGGAATATTGAAGTGTGCGAATTAATCCTCAAGTTGGTGCAAGTCAGCGTAAAATCGCAAAAATTGTGAAATTGAGCCAAGGAACTGTTCAGGTCGTGTGTTAAATAAAACTATCACGGCTCAAAATAAGATATTTAACGAATGTGATTCTCGACAATCGTACGGAAAATATGCGAAAACCCCTACTTAAGTGCTCCAGCTTTAGGTAGAGAAGTGGTAAAATTTGTTGGAAACCCAGAAACCATACGAAGAATTCTCAGAGAAGCAGATTTCAATGGGCGCACAGCTCAAAATAAACCATATTTCAGTGCTAAACATCAAAGTGTAAGTTTGCACCATTTATATAAAGATGAAAGTTTCTGGAACACTGCAATTTTCGCGGATGAAATCAAATTCAACCTGTTTAGATCAGATGAAAAGAGCTATGTATGGAGAAAACCAAATGCTGCGTTACAACCACAAAGTGTCTCAAAGTTAAATGTTCGTAACAAGTTTCGGTACTATCAATATCATGATCTGAAATACAAATCAGGCGTTCTGCAAAGTTGGCTTATTTGGGACCGTCCGCATATAGTACAAGCTCCAGCGTAGTATCCAGATTTGAATGTAGTCGAGTATCTGTGGTCAGTTTGGAACGAGAGATTCGAAATCAAGCCGACTTACAAAGAGCTCTACAAACACACTGGTAAAATATTGGTCATGACAACACGAAGAAGTTAGTGGAATCCATGCCCAAACGTATGAAATCAGTCATAAACATCAAAGGGTATCCTACTAAATATTAATTAACATACAAGTTTAGTTTTGTTCTTTAATAAAAAAGAAATGTATTAATTTTTTTGTTACTGCATCATTTTCGCTGTGAGGTAAAATTTGATAGTGAAGTTTGTTTTTGTTGTTAAAGACATAAAATATATATAAATAAATATATTTTGAAGCGTAAATGAAATGTGTATAAAGCAGGATAAATACCGAGAGCTGAAAAGGGAAGCAAGACGTATTTGCTAGACAAATATAAAGACCTTGAGGAGCTGGCCGACAAATTCCACGAAAAGATACGGCGACTTACGGACGGTCTCAAGACCGGACCTAGCTCTTGTCCAAAGGGGTGATCTCGTGAAGGGTGCACTTCGCCTATGGCAGGCAGAATAAGTCTTCTCAATATCACGTATAAGGTGCAATCGTCTGATTGAGCCTCGTCAGAGTGGCTTTAGACCTTGTGAATAAACCATTCGGACGACGTAACGTAGTCGCTGTCTGTCAATTCGCTGATCTATGTCAGTAACAACGAATAGCTCATACAGCTCATCGTTCTATCATCTGCGTTATTCGTCGTTGCCAGGGCGATATGACTAGAAATCGTTTCGCTTTTCTCTGAATACTCCTAACGCCGACTTATCAGATGTTGGCATCGTCCACGATTCTGCCATATAGCAGGACGTGTATGATGAACTACTTGTAGTTTAGTTTTCGTTCGCCGAGAGGACTTAATTTTTCAATTGCCTATTTACTCCAAAGTAGTACCTGTTTGCAAGACTGATTCTGCGTTGGATTTCAAGGCTGATGATCTCATTTACTGCCAGATCTATTCGCTTCGCTTCTCTTTCAAGTCTGAAGAATGCAGCACTAACGGCACGGTTGTTAAGGCCTATGTTATCAATATCATCGGCACACACCAGCAGCTGCACACCCTTGTAAAAATTGTTCCTTGTAAATATAGATCCTCAGTTCTAATAATTTTTTGCAGGTCCCATCCCCGCGAAATTTATATGGCTGTGATCTGAAAAGAACTAATCCTCAAGAACCCTCCATTACATTACCTGTTTATCAATTTTTCCTACATTATAATAATATCAGAAACTTCTTGTAAGAAAAGTTAGTGCCTAGTAAGTAACTACAAAGCAAAAGGCATGTAACCCAAGCCAGCGTGTGTTTGCTTTCGCCAGTATTTAAGTTTACTGTTATGGTGTCTTGCTTACTGTAATTATGCATCATAAAAACATTAAGGCTTTTTCTATCGAATATAAATTCTTTTTTCTTACGTTCAGTCATGTATATAATTCGGTGTCCTCAGTCTGCGAATTTGGCCTCCACTGGCCCCTGAATTAGGACAAAGCCTGGTTGCTCGATGCTCTTGACATCGCTGCCGCGGTTTCGCTCATATAATTTTCAGATATCGGCTGATTTAACCCCTCTAAGGGAAATCAATCTAAGTCACCGAAATCATTTAACATGAGATTCAGGAAACGGGCCCGTCCGCAAATGATTTATTCAGTATTATACCAATCTTAACACCTGAATTGATGCTGGCCATTTTATAGCCCGTTGCGAACGCTGACCTCTGCTCGGCACATCTTTTCCTTCCGGTTTTTTTTTAAAGTAGAGCCGCCCTCCTCTAGCTTTTCATGATTTTTATTTCCCACTACGCAATTTAGGTTACGGACGGTGCCATGTCTGTCAAGCTTCTTTCAAGACTGGGCTCTTTATACCCCCTACCATGGTAACAGTTCATTGATGCTTTGCTCTTAGGGAGCATGTGAGTACAAGTTTCGGGAACAATTAATTTTTCAATTTTATCCTTTTACTCATTTTTAAGGTTTACCGGAACTGGTAATAAAGAAAAAATTGATGTTTGGAGAGCCTGTTCAATAATTAAACTCCAAATGTAGCAACACGTCAAAATCTGACCCTTACAAAATAACTTACCATTATTTTAAATTACTAACACAATAAACGGGTGTAATGTAACAACCTTAGCTAATGGAATGATATTTATTATAGATCTAAAAGTCCATTATATTCAAATATATATTATATTGACCAACAAAAATTAACATAAGCTCTTAAATCCCACACTATAAAACACCAAAATTTATATAAAATAAAAAAATTACTTAAACAGAAATTATATGGATTTCTTATTTTGTTGTTTTTATAATGTATTATCAATTCTTTGATTCTTGATCATTAAATTGGTGTTAAAACTGTCGCAGCAAGGAATCTGCGCTTAGCCTTTGTACAACAATTTCTTAGTATTTGTATCTGTATATAGCAACGCCAGCTACACCAATTAAGATGGATCCCATTAAATATCCTATAAGTTTGAGCTGAAAAGAAAGAAATTTAAAGAATTGAGTATAATTGCAAACGTAAGACATACATATTTAGCATTATCAGAAGTTTCATTATAAAAACTATTTCGGACTACGGATTTTGTATAGCAAAGAACAGAAAAATTACGGTGGCTCAATTGAGTTCTTTTATAGTTTAGTTGAACTCAATTTGTAAGGATCACAAGGAGAAGAAGGTACTCAGGAGTATTTTTGTTTAATAATTTGCAGGGAAAAGCCTGACGTGCCAGATATGGTTACTATTACGATATACAGAATATTCGAGACTCGCGCTCTAGAACGCGATTTAGTTATCGGCATCTCTTTTACATCTTTCATTCGTGTTAATTATTTTCGCCACAATATACAATAAATACAGCGATATTATGTTCATGGAATAGAAGATATGCATAATTATTTTTCCTTTTCAATATATTCATGAGTTTCCAGCTGGCAGCTTAGCTTGTTGGAAGATGCTGTACTATTTTTATAGCATTACTTGGAGTCTTGTTTCGACTCAGGTTCATAATGTTGAACCCAAATTTCGTCCCTAATAACAATGCGACTCAATACACCATCCTACACTTCATTACAGTGGCTCACGTTATTACTGTGCTCTGTTATTTTTTCATATTCCACTAAAGGTAGTCGATTGGAAAAAATTCTATGAAATTACGGTCCCAACCAAACATCGATTCTCAGAAAATGCTAATATATATGCTGCGTTAATAACCAAATCTCTCCGCAGAGCAGCCAAGAAAAAAATTCCTCATAAATACACTAAGAGCTGATAAGATGAAAAATTAGTACACATTCAAAAGATACCCAGCAGACAAAAATCTCATTCGGTACAAATAGTTTTCAACAATTCTCCAGCTCAATCGACCGCCACTGCCGCCGACATCAACCAACGTTTTGCCAACTGAGCAGCTAACGCCATACTGGGGCTTACCGATTGCCTGCATCATTTCAAGTGCCGTCGTCTACGTCAGGACACCCACCGTTAACAACAGCAACTAGTGTACGCTAAATGCAATTTTCGTCGCCGCATCTGCTAACGTCACAGTCATTATTGTCAGAAAGTGTAGGTCAGTTCAACTTGCAACGGCCGCCTATAACTACACTTTTTAGAAGAAGAATTATTGTCACAACTACCACCGTCATTGACGGCACAGCCGCCGCCACCAGCCAATATCCGGCCAACTCAGAGTAGTCAACCGTCGCAAGCTCTGCCATCACAGCATTTACAGAATCCGTCATTTATGTCAGCGCCTAAGTACCCTGAAATATGTAGATTCAAGTTACATCCACTACCAGCCTTTTATGGTGACCAAGAAGAATGGCCTTTGTGTCGAGCAAGTTATATTGACAACACAAGAGAATTTACATGCAACGACAGACAATCATAGTCAAGAGTCGGAAAGAACCATTGTCATTACAATGGTATAATCGAAATCACACAACTGAAAATTCCCGCGTATTCAATTTAGACGTCTGTGGAGTTCATTCGAAGACAAGGTACCAACTGAAAAATATTCATACCGTAAATGAACTAGATTTGCCAGTGCAAACGCTTCATAGCCACCAATACAAGCATTTTAAAGATTTGAATATCGCCGATTTTGCCGCCGCCAAACCATCATTCCTCATAGGCTTGGACAACAGTCATGTAAGTATCACCGAAATGACAGTACATGCTGATCTTGACGAGCCCATCGCAGCAGCTACCAAGTTAGGATGTGTAGCATATGGATTGATTGAGTGAAAATCCCAAGTCAACCTTTGGAACCCGATGAAGATATCACATCCAGAAAGATCCTGGAGTCAATGACACAAAATATTGGTCAGCGCTTTGACGTAGGTCTGTTGTGGCGTGAAGATAACATCGTTTTGCCCGCAGCTACGACATGGCCAAACGAAGATTGCTCAACGTGGAAAGCGAAATGTCAAAAGACGACCAATATGCAACTATATATATACTGTTATTAAAAAATACATCAACAAGGGGTATAAGTTATTATCAGAATCTGAAGCTATCCAGGAAGGTCCTCCTACCTGGTACTTACCACATTTTGGAGTGGTTAATTTTCATGAGCCAAATACACTTCGTGTGGTCTTCGATGCAGCAGCAATAGTTTCGAATGTCTCGTTAAACCCATTTTTATTGAAGGGACCTGAATATACGCAGCCACTCATTAGTGTTATGCATAAGTTTCGCCAACGCCGCATTGCTGTAGTCGGAGACATAGAAGAAATAGTCTCCCAAATAAACATTGGAGAAGCTGATAAAAATTCCCAAAGGTTTCTATGGAAGAATGGAGAACAAAACGACCCAATTTAAATATATGAGATGACGTCTATGATTTTTGGCGCAGCTTGTTCACTTGCAAGTTTTCTTGAAATACTTCCAAGAGGAGTTAAAGTCATTACCGAAAACATTTATGTCGACGATCTAGTCGTGAGTTTCGATAACACGACAGAAGCCAAAGATGTCCCTAAAGAAGCAGTAGAAACCAACTTAGCCGCCGGTTCTCGTCTTAGAAACTTCATTTCAAATTGCAAGAAACTACAACATCATTTAAACCAATACATTCGAATGAAGTCCGAATTCATCAACTTAGAAAATCAGCCGCAAACAGATAAAATCTTCGGTAGGTATTGGAATTCAACCAATGACACGCTCAAGTTTCATTTTAGGTTTCATAAAATTCCAAAAGTCGCAGAGGGTGACCTCTTATGAAAAGAGAGCTGTTAGGCTTAGCAATGGCCATCTACGATCCGTTTCTAGCCAACGTTACCACCATTCCAGTAAAGCTGTAATTACAAGACACTTGGAGGCAAAACATCGCATCGAGTTGGACATCATGGTGGAGCATGTTTCAAGAGGTCCACAAATTTTCGATACCTCGCTGTTATCCACCGATGTACTGTTCAGCCAAAAGTCTTTAGCTGCCCTTAATATATCCACGAATGTCAAACCTCGATAACACTCAAGTCACCTTAGTAGCAACCAAATCCAGATGTGCTCCCAAACGAACAATAACAGCGCCACGATTAGAATTTGGTAACCGTCTTCGACTGTCAGCCCAAAAATGCCTTGATCGAAATGTCAATAGTGTAATCTTTTGACCGATTCACGAACCACAAAAATTATTAACGAACAACGTTGGAGAAGAATCCACCAACAGAATTTTAATTACGCAAGTTTTCGACATATACCCGGCTACTGCAAGTAGTAGCATGGATTCCACGCTTTACATACAACCTAAATACCGTTTCCCGCCGCTGTAGTGAATTAACGCGAGCGAGCTGTTAGCCCCTGAGAAGTACCTTGGCCGCCAAGCACAAGTCGAAACTTTTGAAGCCGAACTGAATGTACTTTCAAAGTCGAGCGCAATATTTCAACTAACTCCGGACGGGGTCGATGCCGCAAACTGTCTACCAGAGTCTACACGCCGTCCTATTATTGTGCCACAGCGTAATCACCTAGCCCTTCTCATCCTCGACCACTAACATTGAAAAAAACCATCACCAAAACATCGGGTTGGGGATTAATGCAATGCGTTAACGCTTTTGCGTGCCGCATGCCTATGCCGTACTGAAAATTGCAATAAAAAGATGTTCAGTTTTTATACGCCGATTACGTCTTCGATGGGCCACTTACCGTCAGATCGTCTTACGCCATTCGTGCGTCCATTCTCATATCCTGGAGTCGATTATTACGGTTCATTTTTCATCGCTATTGGACGATGCCGTGAAAAGCGTTGGGTCGCCGATTTTACCCGCCCTACCACCAGAGCCATTCATCCTGAGATTGCAGTAGACTATGGATGTATTTTTAAATTGTCTTCGGAATTTTTGAAAACCGCCGTGAAGTACCAATCCGCATCAGAAGTGACAACGGAACAAATTTCGTTGGAGCCCAACTCGCATTGAACATAGATGAACATATTTTCGATTTTGATGAAATTCAACGCCAGGCTGCTATGGACAGGATTGATTGCAAGTTTTGCTGTCTAGCCAATCTAGCTGAAGGTTGATGTTGGGAACGACTCATCCAATGTGTAAAACGAGTTTTGCATCGCGTCTTAAAGGAGGAGGCGCCTCAATTGGAAACTTTTCGCAGCATAGTCATTGAAGCGAAGAATATTATCAACAGTCGCCCTTTGACAGATATTTCTATCTCGCCACAGAATCCAGAACCTCTGACTCCCAACCACTTTCTTTTGGGATGCCTTAACTCAACGCAAACTCCTGGGAATTCTGATGAAAAGATATGCCTGCGAAAGAAGTAGAGAATCGCTCAAAACTTGACTTCCGACTCGTTCGAAATGGCATAAGGAAGTCGCTCCACTAAAGCCAGGACAACTAGCGTTGATCTGCACCGGACCTATGCGACGTCCTATTTCGAAGCCAGGCGCTTTAGAGTTCGTGAATCCCCTTGCAGGATGAAGAGGGTAAGGAGGAATAAATGGTCAAGTGCGTTTAATTTTAAGCTGTCTTGTAGTGAAGAAGTAGGAAAGGCAAAGGCAAAATAGCAGTTGACTTTCGAGCTAAGTTCTTCAATTTTCTGGCCAGACGCCAATAACGTGCAATCATCGGCATCCGAGGTTAAGGAAACTCCTTCTGGTGGAGGAGGTAATTTAGAAATTTAGAAATTGAACTGGAGTGGGGAGAAGACACCCTCCTTGTTTTATATTCTTAAGCTTCGATGTTTCACCTCGGAAAACTACTGATGATTGTCTATCTCTGCGGTAGCCCAGATATATCTCTGTAAACCCGGCGGTAATGGGGATTCCTCAATGTCCGTTAGTAGTACTGAATGGTTAACTATCTGAGTGTTTATGGCGTTTAGTGCTGCTGTGGTGCTGTGTATTTTACGGAAGCCCTGCTGATGTGTTACTGAACGCAGCTGGTGAGCAAATGCAAGTCGGGAGCAGCAAGACCTCAAGTGTCTTCGCTACTGGGGAGAGAATTATTGGTCGATAAGACTCTCCTTTGTTTGGTGGCTTCCCCGGCTTGATTAGACCACCCTGCCCGCCGGACTTTTGGCGGGTTACTCGTTGCTTCATTTTGTCTGCCGAAGGATGCAATGTGAAGCTTCGGGCGATGTAATGAGAAGAGTCCGACGATACGTGTGATCACGGAATGAAATTTCCACTCGGTCAACCAACGCGGCCCGTCAGGTTGGACAACGATTTGACTGTAGCCCAGAGCTTAGTTAGGAGGGATATATCAGGGCTATATCCAACTGAGCAACTTGTAACAGGAGGAATGTATATATTATATATCTCGAGCTCGGCATAGCATGGTTTCCTCGCGATCCTTGCGGATATTGTTGTATCCGGCCCGGCTCAGAGGACCCGAACGGGTGCTCAACTTCTTTTCCTGGATCGCAGCAATGGGCAGGTGCTCCCGGCTCATATAGTTCGCGTTTCGTATGTCTTTCTCTGTAGTCCGTTAAATTGTAACAGTCTGGTCTGTCTCCGTGGGATGTTCGTGATACCGGGGTTGGGGGAGTGATGTGTGAATGTAAAGTGTTGTTGCTGTGCTATCCGCTAAACTTGCCGCACGTTAGTATTGGTTTGTCGGAGTTGTTGTAGAATCAGGCAGGGGCAGACTCCTACAGTATGACTCAGGGTACGCATCCCTCCACTCCCGGGTTGTGCGCAGACCAGAGTACGTCCGAATATGACACCAGCCAAAGTGGTTAGGGGTACTGAGGCACTGTTATGGAGGCTGAGGGCGCACTTAGCGTTGACAGCATGGGAGACCACTCCCTGTGGGTCTTAAAGCCTGAGCAGACCTTAAAATGACTCCAACTGTTGCACTGGTTTCACCTAACTGAAGTGGAGTGAAGGAGTCTTTTATGGCACACGTAGCAGAAATAATCTGTGGACCAGGGTTGGTTTCTCCAGGCCTGATGAGAAGGATATGGAGCAGCTTCGCTGCGAGGTATTGTTCCGTCGACCTAAACGGGATTAGGTCTACTCTCAAGTCAGCCGGTTTTACACGTCCGAGTTGACCCGGATTTAATCCTACCTATTTTTTGTTCTTTTCTTCATCGATTGAGATTGCAAAGAACAACTATCGTTCCATTTTTTTTTTACCGCTTTTATAGATTTACACAAACTTCACTGCTTGAATATTTGATTCGAATATAAAAAATATACAAGTAAACTGAAAAATCATAATCTCACAAATAAATTTTCCAAAATAGAAAATTTCTCGTGCTCAGGGTTTTAGCCTTTTCTTAATTCACATCGTTTCGTCTGCATTGCTTGTACAGAATACGTAAAACAAAGACGAAGCGATAAAAACGACGATGAACATTGACGATCGTCAGCAAAAGCGTAGACGACATTCAGCATAAGGCCGATGTATATTTATGGTTTGTTGGCTTTGAAACATGAATATTTACCTAGTTAATACAATATTAATAAATAAACCGCTACAACAACAACAATATAATTGTTGCGTTACAATAATTTTTGTATACCACAATTGACAACTTAGAAATGCCATAAAAATGCCAAGTTTATTAAACTATTTATGAAAAAGCGTAAAAGCAGAATGCAATAAACTGTATAAATTTACGGATTCAAAGGTAACTCCCTGAATCCTGTTCGGTAAGGACTCTTAAAAAACGCTAACTGACATTTCTCAAGGAATACAACTATTATCAACAAATGTATAAAAGCAGCCAATGTCAATTTATGAAGTTTTCTTCTTTTATTATCACTAAAACACAACCAATAGAAACAGAAGCTGGTGCTGATATATCCTAAGGATTAAGCTCCATAATTAATTACAGACTTAACAAACAAAACAAGAAATAAATAAATAACTTTTCCCGCTATGCAACCCCTGTACGCAAATCTTATTTCACTCTACCTTGCTAGGGTTGGCTTTAATTTGGAACTCGTGGTTTTTTTTTATGAAATGTTTAAGAGGTCTACAATTACCAAAAATATTAATTTTATCAAATTAATAGTTTAAAAGTTATAAACATTTTACGTTACACTTTTTATATGCTTCTGATTTACTTACAAACACACTAACAACCCTTTGCTAGGCAGGCGATTCCGCTCTGTAAAATAATCTAAAAGTTAATAACAATATCCAAGCAAAATAAAAACAGAGTTTCGTATGAAGGATTGTGTGAAGATAAGAGTTTTACTTAAAAATTCTGTGCAAGGCAGGCGAAGCTGGTGTTGGTCCAGCCGAGGGTTACAATCCAAAACGAGGCCGAAGGCCGCCAACTAACAAAGGAGTTTCACTTAAGAATAATGTGCAAGGTAAAGCAGGTGTTGGTCACACTTATTTTCTATTTGAGTGGCGTTTTCTTATTTTTTTTCTGCATATTTATTTTTAATTTGTAGATTATTTGGAGTGGCAACGCATCCCTAGCCAAGTGTTTTTAGTGTTTTTATAAGTAAAATACAAGCAGGCTGCCTGTATATAAAAAATGTAACTTTAAATTAATAGTTGATAACTTCTAAACTAAAAATTTGAGAGCGATAAAATATATATTTTTTTATAATAGTAGACCTCCTGCTACCAACCCTGACCATTTCATTAAGATAAACCACAGGCTCTATACTCTTTTGCGCGTACACGGTTGAAGAACTTGCACCAAATGAACAAAAAAAAAAATACAAGAGTGTAGAGGAATATGGACTTCTTGCGTTTTTATGTTAAATTTTCTAATATTTTTCTTAAGTTAAACTGGATATGGAACTGTTGCCTTAATCACAGTCATTATATTTTACATTACTAAAGAAGTATAGAAGACACTTCGCTTAGAAACTCTGTTTTATTTTTAATTGCAACATGCAAGTCGCTGTCGAACATAGCTTTTTATGAATTCCCAATGAGTATCACGATATATATTAATTGTATTAAGACTGCTTGCACCTATTATGTACTTACCTTGGAACTTTCAATACTTTGTTGTTTTTGTGGTTGCTTATGCTTTTGTTCCAGTTTTTTGGCTTGACCAAGCATTTTTTGATACATTTCTTTTTCGTTGTGCTCTTCCCTCCGGGCTTTGATTATCAACTTTGCTAAATCCTATATAGATTTAATTAGAATCTTATAGTAAGGCAAAACGTTAATCTTTCACTAACTTGTTGAATTGCTTTGCTATCTGGTTCAAATGTAGCCGCTTTTTGTAACAAACTTATAGCTCCTTTTGTGTCTCCCTTCCCTTCAAGAATCTGTAAGTAAAATAACCTTTAATTGGGCATACTTGTTTTTTACTCTCTTTACACACTCTTCCTTTCCGATACAAAGCCTTGGAGTTGTTTGGCTGACAACGCAATACGTTCTCCACTGATTTCAAAGCAGCATCAAAAGCTGAAATTTTTATTTGAGCCATGGCCAAATTATTGTACACAATTAATCTGTCCTCAAGTAACGTTTGCAAGTCACTATTAGAAAGCTTTAATAGGAGAAATTAAACGAAATATTTAAAATTGTTACAATTTTCAATCCTTATTACCTCTAAGTCTTCTTTATCAAAGGCAGCGTCAGGATCGCCATCACGATCATCTAAAAACTCCAGTGCACGTCTATACAATTGGATTGCCGTGTTGAATTCATTACGATTATACCAAAAATTCGCTCTTTCTTTTTTACGAGTTCTGTTTTTTTTTTCAGATTATAATCAAATAATTTAAATAAAAAACGGCAGTGATACTCACCCATACTTTCTGCGCACGTCAAAAGATTTCAAATCTGAAAAGTCTTCACTTTTAGACTCCACTAAATGCACTTCATACGTAAGCTGAAAATTTATTTATGTTTTAATTAGTCCCCATTAAAAAGTAGCAAATATTTATCTTACTGTGGTATCAGGTGGTATGCTTGCACATTCATTCTCATTGTTTTTCATTCCAATGCTACCATAAGCAAACCTAGCATCAATGGTTACTTCTGCAACTTCGCCAACGTTCATAAGTGGAATAACCATATCCAGTCCTTGAACAACCTAATATTAAAAATATTAATCGACATTTCATATGCAAAAAATAAAATTTATACTTCAAAATCTCCAACGTGCACTTGATAATTCTCCTTCTGTTCCACCACGATTCCATTAGGCAATTTTCCGGAATATGTGATTGTGGCTAAATCTCCTCGCATTGGGCGTCTATCTAACTGTGATGGTTTTAAAACTCGTTTCACTAGTTGACCGTTCCCTAATACGTCACAAGTTTCTTCATCGCCAACTGAAGCTACACCTTCATTCTGAGAAGTCTCTACTCTTTCTGGTATATTCTTCGTCTCTTTCGACTCACCTTCGACATTATTTTTACTATCCTTCACATCAGGTTGCTGTAATATTTCTGGCAGAGAATGTGTTGCTTTGGTTTCCAATTCGTTTAAGTTTGAAAGGTCTTCAAATGAACTATTACTAGACTTTTCGGTGTCCATGATTTTCTAATTTAAAACAAAATGATTAGTATTGGGTGCTGTAAGTTTAAAAATATACACAATGTCGCTCTACATTTACCCAGTGTAATGCGGAAAATGAATAATAAAAATACGCATTATTGTTAAGAGCTAAATGTTTTCATTTCTGAACACAAAAACAAATTTTCATATTATTTATAATTCCACCAAACCTTGGGCATTTAATAATTTTTCAATAATAGAATAATAAGGCTTACCGAGATGGAATATAAATAAAATTAAACAGTTTATAGGAAACCAAAATTTTCCTTCGTCAGCACACAGTATTCAGCAAGACAGCTGTTCAGCAATACGTCATTTGTTATACAGGTGACATTGTGTGCTCTGTGTACGGTAGCTTTAAATTAATCGATACATTGAAGCTGGTACAAAAGCATAAAAATAATAGACAGTTTAACGGTACCATAACCATAACTATAAGTAAATTTGCCCTAACAATTAATTATTTGATTTCGGAACTTGCGCTATGTTGAAGCAGAGACACTCAACTAACGGAACGATGAGATATCGTTTTTATTTGATATGAAAAATAAATTTACCGAAATGATTTTGTATTGTTTCGGCGCCATGTTAATGTTGAAACCGCACAAACTCTTCGCTCTTAACGTTAATTTTAAAAAGGCTGGTTGGTATGATTTAATATCCCATTTCCAAAGGACGTTGCACGTATTTTAGCTTAAACCATTTAAACATCGCATTTAAATGCGTGAATTCTCATGTGTTTGTTGTTGTATAAATACGTGTTAACTAACTTTTCAAAGTTAAATTTTGTCACCAGGTAAAAAGAATCTGCTGTTTGATTTTGTGTTGTTAGTTTGAGGAGAGATGAAACCCAAAAATGGATAGGCATGTTAAGCCTGGAATTTCTTGAAGATGGAGAAAAAAGTGTAAAAAGGCGTATGCTTAGAATTTTGCCAGAAACAAGTGATCCTTTTAATTTTGAAGATAGCGTTTATATTCAGCTATTTTTGTCATTTCGCCTTATTTTCTATAATTAGGCTGAAATATTTATGATTTAATAAACAAATAAATAAAAATTATTTGTCTTGTTGCGCTCCGCCTTACATTTCTTATTATTCTTTTTTACTATACCAACTGGCAAATGTATTTTGACAAGGACGAAGAAACAGTGCTGCCCAAATTTTTTCAAACAATTTCGGGTGTTAAAAGAAGTAATAAAATGTTACTTTACCTGTAACATTGAGCCTGTAAGTGGAAACGTTTGACATTTAATTCACTTAACAGAGGCTTTAAATGCGTTTAAGTGCCTAGTGGAAATAGGCTATAAAAGCAGACTTCAATTTTTTCGTTTATCATTATCTAATAATAATTTAACATTGACGGCCGCTTTTCGATTTGCATAAAACCGAAATTAAATTTATTTCAACAACAGGTTTAACGATAACACTTCATAATGATTTAACCGATTTGTTTGAAATTTTAAGGTTGTGAAGCATTTTGGCATTTCGGCCTTCTAGAAAATCGAAGTGATCCGCGACCTGCAAGAATTGCAGATCCCACTGAATCGCTATTGGGCGGGAACAAGTTTTAAGCGTACAGCCTTTTTTCGTGTTTAATTTCACGAGACTATTCCTTCACTCTGAATAACATCATCAACATTTATTTATTGTAAAACAAATTTAATTGAATAATTCCAAATTATTGGAAAACCAAGACTTAAAGTTGTTTTTCTCCTTGTGGCCGGAGACGTAGGTCATCATAGCAAACTCAACACATTTCTTTATGTATCCAATTGACGTCTTGTATTATTGTTATTGCAAAATGCTGTTCACAGCATTCTCGTACACCGAAATGTCAGTTGCGTCGCAGGTATACATATAATAGATAAGGGCTTATCATCATGTTTAATAAATAATTTAGGGTAAGTGACCGCCGCGGTCAGCTCGAATAAAGTCCAAATGGAGACCCAATATTCGACCACTTTTCGCAACAATTGATCCGCGTGTCAGCAATAACGTGCCGAATATTTTCTTCATCTCGGGCGTATATGCATATATAACCCAAAAAACAGTCGATTGCCATTAACTCGTAACAATCGTGGAGGCCACGTCACTGTCCCACAGCGCAAGATAATGCGCTCACCAAAAGTTCCCTTCAATAAATTAATTGTTTTGTTTGCTGTATAACAATATGGCAAATATTTACCAATTATTCCCTAAGCCTATAGAGCACACCAAGCAGAGTCTCAACAATGATTTGTGGATTATCAGCACTCTAAATGCATCTATATTATTTATTAATGTAAAAAAGTCAGTTTCATCGGAATAATCATGTTCATTACATTAGTAGCAAACGCACAGCCTCCAAAGAAGAAAAGCTGGCGGATCCCAAACCCAGCGCACAACCTCGCGAGGCGAGTAAGATTAAAGACACATTTATATAGCGAGCCTCTTGCTTCAAGACCGATGCCCTCTTGCAGCCGCACTTCTTGTGAACAGACGTTGCAATTAGACTTCAGCAGACCCTTAAACCGAATAAGTCGGAGTGGCCGCACTGAAGCTTCCTCTCTGATCGGCCGTGACCCAAGGCTCCACACGGGTTGTTTACCGCATCTTGCACAAGGGTTGCTCACGTTTCCAGGTGGTACGCAGTGTGATGTGGACGCAAGAGTAGGAATTGAGTAGAGCCTAGCAAGTGTAACAGCATACTCAGAAGCTTGACTACACCACTACACCACATTACGCCTTGAAATCCAGCGCAGAATCACGCTTGCCAACAGGTGCTACTTTGGACTGAGTAGGCGATCGTTCATCATCGTTCCCGGCATGCTATATGGTGCGGAAGCATGGACGATGACAAAATTTGATGAGTCGGCGTTCGGACTTTTCAAGAGAAACGTTATGTGTAAGATTTATGCGAATACCGCATACGGCGACATTGACATAGTGCAGTGAATCAAGAAGCAGCGGCTACGCTGGCTAGGTCATGTGGTCCGGATGGATGCAAATACTCCAACTTTGAAAGATTTCGATGCAGTACCTGCCGGTGGAAACAGAGGAAGAGAAAGACCTCCACACCATTGGAAAAACCAGGTAGAGAGTGACCTGGCTGTACTTGGTATTTCCAGTTGGCACCAAATAGCAAAAAGGAGAAACGAATGGCGCAATGTTGTTAAATCGGCTGAACTCGCGTACCTCCAGTAAAGTAAGTAATTAAGGTACTTTATTTAAGCTTCAAAAAACAATTTTTGGTATCAAAAATTATTGGAATTTTCCAATGTTGTAATGAGTTTTTTGAAACGGTGCGGGTTACGGAAGTCATGCGATGCATCTGAAACAGTCGAACCATTTGTTTTTGTTTCTTAATTTTTATGAGTGTCTCTTCTATATGAACTGAACTATATGCAATTTTTTCGAAGTGAAAAAATCTCTTTTTTGAAAAAAAGGTTAACTTATAGTTTTGTCCAACTTTGTTAGCTCAAGTAGAAGATAATTTTCGAATTCACGATGTGAAAATTGTGCTTGGCGACTTTGAGGCCAGGATTGACAAAGAGAGGGTTTCGGCACAAAGAAACATCCCCATTGAGTTGAGGCTGACGGACTTTGGTCCTACGGCCCAAACATCGACTCTGACCACTATCTTGTAGCAGTAAAGAACCTAATAACCCTAATAACCGCACGGTAGGTTCTTCTTTCTCCAGACTGAATAAGTAAGCGAAGCCTATGGGTCCGGAGGGAACAGGGCGAGACGAAATAAATCCTGTCATCAAACAAACAGTCATTGCAATACATTGCAACACGTAATCACTCTCGACGAGCACCGAGTTTACCAATTTCATTGCTTATTTTTACAGCGGTAAGTTTTCAACGAGCAGGATTCAGTAAAATTTAGCCAGGAAGTTATACAACAGCTGTTTATTTTGGCGGTTAATTTTGAATTGGCTCATTTATACAGTTTAATATTTCTGCTTTTAATTAATTTCGTAAGTATTTTAATAAAATTGGCAATTATGTGGCATTTTTAAATTATTAATTTTATTCAAAAATTATTGTATTTCAACAGTGATGAAATTCGATATGCTTATAGCCGTCCAAAGATAAGGATATCAATATGTTTTTGCTAACGATCCTTTAAAAGGACGAGGGTAGACATAGAACTTTCTTTGCAACAATTTGTCGCTTAGATTTTCAGTAAGGATGACTGCAATACGAAAATAAGTTTGAAATTCTTTTTCCGTGTAAGCCGGCCATATTATTTCAACATTGTAATAGAGTTTATTTGATACTATTGAAATAAAAACCAAGCAAGATTTTTATTTTTCATTCTAAATGCTATATAAGGCCGAGAAGCGAAGCGACTTTTCGGCCGAACCCTTCCTCCAATTTGTTGTTTTGCGTTTTGATGTTTTTCCACCGAAGTTTATACTAAGCCGCCTTGGGACGGCGGATGGGTTTATTATGAGGAGTTTTATTTCATGCCAGAAATACACTTGGAGAGGTTGACATTCCCGGCCAAGCGACGACCGCAATATGAACCCGGGCCTTCCAAATGGCAGTACGCAAGGCTATCCACTCGGCTACCGCGGCCGCCAATAGTGTTAAGTAGCGGGTAGAAATAGTTAGTTAGTAGTAGTTATTGTTCAGTAAATAAATGGAATATTCAATCACAGATTACATGGCTAATGTTGGCTTAGTAGTAGAGCACTGGCCTGACGAGTTAGGTTCGGTTCCTGCCAGAAGAAGTCGGATGAGGAGATATGGTGATCTCCGAAAGAGCTGTACCTGCTTCTTCTTCTTTACTGGCGGAGAAACCGCATATGCAATAATCTTGGCAATAATGATTCTGCTCCGGTTTTTCAGGCTGACAAAGTTATCAACGACATCGAAATTATGCCTGTCAACAACGACGAGATGACAGAACATATTTCGTCTTACTATTGTTCACTACCATACCCATACCAAAGAACGTATATTAATAAGAAGGGAAAAGAACTGTGAACCAATTTGAAAAATTTTGTTGAGGTGAATAGTGAGGTGCCACAGCGAGATTACACCTTCCTTCAAATTTCTCGCGATTTTCGTAACACAGCGGGGCAATTATGACGGCGAAACGAAATTTCGTACCAAAACAAAAATGAGCCGATTGAGTTGGCAAAAATCGTTTGAATATGCGCGCGAAACGATAGACATGCATAAAAATATGAAAGCAAGCATACATATATACACTAGACAGAATGGAAATCCTGAAGGGATCCGTCTTTTTTTCTTTGTGTCCCCGAGCACGCCTCTACTTCCCTCTTTGGCCTTAGCTTGGGATTCGCACTTCATCCCTAAAATCTAGATTTTTTGCACTTTGCCCAGCTCATATGACGGACGGACTTAAATTTACTTGCTTCCCAATAATAGGCAATAATAGGCAAACAGCAAATTTAACAGCACGATGCCGACTTGCTACAATTCGGTGAACAAAGTCTGAATTTTTGTCAAAGTCGGAAGAATTTGAAGCAATGTAGTGTATGCCACATACCAATGTGTATTGTTGTTGCTTCACATTTCGGGAAGATGTACGATTTGCTAATTTTTGTTACGGGACTTTTTATACCCGGCTGTACTATGTGAACAGAGTGCATTTGATTTGTTCTGCTAACGGTTTTAAAATAATCAAAGTAAGAATATATAAACTATGTAAAAAACTTCATGGAATGGTGAGGTAAATCGATTTAGTAATATCTGTCCCTCCGTCTTAATACACGATAGCTCGAGTAAGAACTGAGATGTTATAAACATATAAATATCAGCCGAATATCTCGCTTCCACTCGAGTTTAGTGTTCCTTACATGTTTGAGTTTGTGACCGTCCCAAGGAAGCAAATGTTGCGACGGGTAAGCGGAGCCATGTGAGCAGTAGTATTTATGAATGAACACATTGCGTTGTTGCAGGGCGCATGCGTTTATGAATGAAAATGCCGTATTTTTCATGGTTTTATGTATGTATGGTTCTTTCATATACATACAGTCACCTTTGAATGTGTTTGTTTTTGACTTCAGCTCAACTTGAATTTCTGATTTTTGCAAATTTTGCCATCGTCCCGAAGAAGTCGTTCGTGGATGACGGGGTACAAGGGAAGAAAATTTGCAAGTTTTTGTGCATGTGTCTGTTTTTCGTGTACATATTGGCCTCTTTGAATGTATGTGTCTTTAACTTCAGACCAACTTGAATTCTGATTTTTCTGATATTTTGTCATCGTCGCGAAGAAGATGTTTGTGGATGACGGGGTGAAAGAAGGAAGGGCATGCGAGCTATTAAGATTGTGTGCGTTTAACGTATACATATTGAATTGCTTGAGTGTATGGGTTTTCACTTTGTCCCAAGCTCAACATCAATTTCTGACTTTTGACAAAATTTCTGACCGAACGGCTTGTTGGTGGAGGGAGCAAGGGAAAGAGATCTCACAATACTTTGTTTGTATTGGTTATTTCTACATGTATATGAAGCTTTCTATGTATGGGTTTGTGATTTTTGCTCAACTTCAATTTCTGGATTTTTGCAAAATTTGACTTCGACTTCATGAAACTGTTTGTTGATGAAGAGTTGAAGGAAAGGGGGTTTGCATGCATAACTTGTTTTTGTTGCTTTTACTACTTTTCTACTTTTCTTCATTGAAATCAAATATTCTAGAATATTCTAGAATCTTCTAGAAGTTTTAGAATATTATAGAAATCCTCGCCACAATTCAACTTGTCGACAAGGTGCATGCGGGAAGGCAAGGAAATTGCTTGCTGGGCAATATGAGTTAACAGGCGAACAGAAAATCTAGTAGCACGATGTCGATTTGCTACATTTCTGCAGGCGATGATTGAATTTTGTCAGTGGCAAGAACTTGAAGCAATGCTTGTGGACGGCTCATGAATGTTACGCGTTGAAGGAAGAAGGGCAGGCTAATGTACGTTGTTGTTGCTTCACTTTTCGCGACCAAATTTGCTTCCGATTTTTTGTGATTTTTGTCAACGCAGCGAAGAAGCAACTTTGTTGTAGGGCGCAGGCGTCTATGAATGAAAATCTTATTGTTGTATTTGATTTCAGTTCTGAGCTTTTAGACAAGAGAAGTATTTTGAGGGATGGGGTAATTTGTTTTCACGCAAATAATGTGTGTGTATGTTTTTGCATATGAGTATACGAATATAAATACATATGTACATATGTATGCATATATACATGTAATTCTTGAGGCAGGTCATTATTTTGTATTGTGTGTACATACATACGTACGTATATATGTATCTACAAATTGATTTATAAGTTAATAAGATTATTAACCAAACATCTAATTAATTTATAAAAATACAATTCATGCATAAATAACCCTCCTTATAAAACAACGCTATTCGAATGCCGACGGCAAATCGTCACTTGCTATTGCTATTGGATAATATAAATATATATAAATACAATAATGAAGTTTATGATTTCACCCTATTTCATTTCATTATGAAAATTAATTTATTTCATCAAATAAATATGGAAACAAAATTATTTAAAATAATTTGAAATAAATTCAAACTGAATTCGAATCATTTGCCTACTTGTCGTTTTTGTTATCATCGTCGCCGTAAAAATGCCGAGAGAACATAAGAAGACTACCCCTTCGAGGTGAATTTACAATAATTTGCGAAAGAAGGTCCAAAGCGGACTCACTCCGTCTGTGAAACCTGAGCCACTTCAATGAACAGTTCACAGTTCTTTTCCCTTCTTATTAATATACGTTCTTTGCCCATACGTTTCGCATCGTCATCCAGAAATCACGGCGCGATTTTTGAGGTCAATGATGTTAGCAGCTGTATACTCTTATAAAGGATTATATATTCTCTTTACAGCTATGCATTCAGTATTATTATCTACAGCAATAAATGAAAGAAGTCACGCGATAAGGAATCAACTTGCCTGAAAACCTTTGGCGTTGGATCCAAATTTAGAAGTAATGGCGTCGAGATAGCTTCTTTTAGTCTGCTGGATTTACCAATAGTGAGGAAGATTATCCCGCGATAATTGGTGCAGACAATGGAGTCTCGCTTTTTGTAGATAGGGCAGACCACACTTAGGTTTCAATAAACAGATATGTTTTCATCCGACAATACTCTGCAAAGAAGCAGTTGCATGCATCTGATCAGATTTTCTGCCATTCAGCAAGACAAAAGAGTATTTCCATCATAAATTCAATATACCTGGGCATAAGTCGCTAGATCAACTCTCTGGGTCCTACAAAAATTGGCTCCGGTTTTGAACTTTCTATAAGTCGCCTTATCTCTTCGTAGTATCTATGAACATTAAACCTATTGGCCAGCTCCTCAAGCTCTTCATACTTGTGCATCTCAGCCTCGTTCTGTTTCTACCTCTACACTCATCTTGCTTCCCTCTTCAATCTTATTACATGTTTTTTGTCATTTCGTAGGGAACTTAATATATCGTCCCAAAGTTCCGACATACCGAGTTGCTGATGAGCAGGAGTTGGCCCATCGGTTGGCTGTTGTCATTGAAGCATTTCGACGTCGAATATTCTCTGTGCTGACGGGTGTTCGTTACTGCATAGAGCTGGATGTATATCTATGCTACTAACAAGACAGTAGTCCAAGTCGATTCTGGGCACCGGAGCGTGCGATCTCTCATAAGAACCTTCCAGGAGGATAGTGTGACAGCCTTGGTCACATGATCCTTCTCCACTGTCAGGAGGTGGACACAACTGAGCTATAAGTTGAAGAACTTTTTTTGATGTGAAATTTGACGAGCATTCTTCAAGCGGGGTGAATGGCATGGCCCGGCCACTGAAGCAAATGTCATCAAGACCTACTCGTCTCCATCCATTTCCATCCGTTGCACCTCTGCATAGAGGGCAAATTGACTTCAGCAAACCCTTAAACTGAATATATCAGACTGGTTCTACTGAAGCTCACTCGCCTTTGTCTGTGACCCAAGGCTCCACACGGATTGGTTCCCGCATCTTGCACAAGAGTTAGTCTCCATGGAACTCAATGCGGACGCAATAGTAGGACATGAGTATAGACCTATGACTGTAACTGCATATACCCTATTAAACCTGTATTTAGAAAAGTATAGTTCACGAGCTAATACAAATAAAACCATCTTAAGCAGATAATGCTTGCAGTCTGTCTTCCCTTTTAGCTCGGTTTTTCTGTTTTTTGTTTACGGATTTTGTCAAATTTAGGGCGTTTACAATGCATACAAATATCAAATTATTAGCTGATTAGGAGTTTTAGATATTTTCAATCGTCTGGCAGCAATTAATAATTTTTCCAGCAGTTTGGGATTGCTCACCTTGCCTGACAGATAAACTTTGTCAACACTGTAGTGCCAGATTAATACGCTCAAAATTTCCGAAATAATCTGATTTTTCTATTTTTCAAAATTGTTTAAAGTGTTGCAATATTTTATCTTTCTGTTGTAATTTTATTTTTCTTTTTTACTCTTCTGCATAAGCAGGGATCAAAACTAATCAAAATTTTTGATTTTTCAATAAAAAAATCAAAGGCTTCTGTATATCTACGTATAGCTTGAAAGTTTTTGACATATAATGGCATATTTTTAGAGGTTATTTGCGATTCTGCAAAGATTTCGAAAAATTCTATCAATATTGATAAAAACAAAATTCCCAATAACCCAATTCAATTTTTCCCAATTCCCAATTTTTTGTTTATCTATTGAATAGTTCTTAACATGAAGATATGTTTTTCCAATTAGATATAATTTTTTTTTTTTTCGATTTTTATATTTTCGCTAGAAAGTCATTATTATACCTGAGCATTAGCTGTTCTTATCAGCAATTGATGTTTTTTTCCAAAATCAGATAGGAAATGTACTCGGAGAGACTAAAATTTACTGAATATTTTAGATACTGTTTATAAAGGGATATAAAACTACGCAACATGCATTGGCAATTAGCAAAAAAAATTTGAAACGTGATCAAAGTACACAATTATGTGCTGGCTTCGATGACGTACATATATCTTAATATCTGAGGTCATATTGTATTTAAAATCTTAAGTCAAAATGAAATTTAAGACCCTCCTAAAACAGAAGTACTACGTAAATTACTAAAAAAATGTAAATAAAGTATGAAAACGTGGCAGTTCTAAGATTTATGACGCACACATTGGTAGTTTTTCTCACACATACATCGCTATGCCGAAAACTGCTAGAATTTATTTCAGCATAATGGCGATTTCTTTTTGACAATTGGCCCTTCTATTGGCGCACGTGTTTTCCTACGCACCGTTTAAGAAAATTTTAATAAAAGAGGTGATTGTGATATATTTTTTAATATTGTGATTAAAAAAGTTAAAGATATAATGTTTTATTATTGTTTGTTCAGATGAATCCAGAAAAATTAAAAAAGTTACAAGCCCATGTGCGTATTGGTGGAAAGGGTACCCCTCGTCGTAAGAAGAAGATTGTTCACTCCACCCCGGCAACCGATGACAAGAAGTTGCAGTCATCACTCAAAAAATTGTCGGTCAACACAATACCTGGAATTGAAGAAGTTAATATAATTAAAAATGATGGAACTGTCATTCACTTCAACAACCCAAAAGCCCAGGCATCACTTCCTACGAACACGTTCGCTATTACTGGACATGGGGAAAATAAGTCTATTTCGGAAATGTTACCAGGAATTTTAACACAGTTGGGTCCACAGGACATCACGCAATTAAAAAAGATTGCTACAGAGTTCGCAAACAAAGGTGCTGCTGCGTCAGGTGCTGCATTAGCTAGCGTATCAGCAGCTGCAGCTGATGACGATGTTCCGGATTTAGTACAGAACTTTGAAGAAGTGGCAATTGGTGGTGCATCCCCTAATGCAAAAGCTGTAGACACAAGCACAACAGATTCCACACAAAGTCATGAGGAGGTTCCTGTTGCCTAAGCCAGTTTTTTACGATCGAATCTTTAGAATTAGCGGTACCGACATATGCAAGCAACATCTACTCATAAAACTACACATACATAGCGTGGGAAAAAGGGAAAACGTTTATTTTATCGGTTAGACGTCTCCGTTTAGATTTGAGTTCTGAAAAGGGTTGCAGTTAACACGAAAAACACCACATAAAGCTTAACAGAGAAAAACTATACATACTGTGAATCAATTAAATACGGAATAGAATTGTTTATCACAAAATATATCTTCTTTTTGTTTTCACAAACTGCATTGTAGGTGGTAAATAAATAAACATAATTACATCAAAGAAATAGGGGCCGATAATATTTCCATAAATATAAATATACAAGCACTCCAATCTAAACATTACCAATACGTATAAGCATCAGACACACGAGGAAACGAAGCATAATATATTATTTTTATATTGAGTACTCTTGACATGCATACACTATTAACTAAATTGGGAAAAAGTTTGGAGCTTTGGTTTATAATAGGTTTTCTCCGATTTGTAATTTTTTGTTCCGAATAATACTAGATTCGATTATCGTTACTTGGCAAAAGTAGCTCAAAAAGTCTAAATCATTTTTTGCTAAAAGCAATTTCATCAATTTTATTTATATCAATCAATTTGCTTTTACGTATAAAATGGCATTACATGAATTACAATACAACATTTGATCAAACATATACCAAAACTACTGTTGATAAAAATTTAATATTTAGAAACAACTAAAGGAAAATGAATAAACCAATACTAAACATGAGTTTAAATCGATGTAGTATTATTGCATAACTGGAGACCTAGATATGAATAAGAAGCCATAGTTTGATTATATATATGAGATAGGAAGATCTAAAAATAGAAGTTTGATGGTTAAAAATAGCGTCCTAAAATAACGAAGTATAATGTGGCAGGAACCGAATATACTGAAAAAATGAAAAGCTCTCAGCACTAGGAAAACAGTTGCGATCCTCTAGTGATCTCTATTATCTTCTGAGGCTATTCGCAATTTTTGTGCTGTCTTAATTACACTAATACAACAGAACTTAATAAACCCTCCTCCTGCCCAACCGTCACGAAGAAATAAGAAACTGCTAGCATAAGCTTTCTGGAAAAAAAAATAAAGCACAATATTAAAAGTTTTATTTTAATATTTGGTCGTATAGTATTAATAAAAACCGTTAAAGTCGCGAAATCTAATTTGTTACAAATAAACTAAGTATTGCCAGTGATAATGGATATTTTCAGTCCCCGTTGATTGTATTATTCGCGGTGTTACATAAAATAATAATACATAAATTTAATTTAGGTGAATCGGTTATCAATATGGTTAAAAAATGTAACATTCATCACAGCGTTATCAATGAATTCGGTGCCACACATATCTAGGCCATGCAAAACCACTTGCCTATGCAGATAAAGCAAATCCTAGTAATTACTGGTTCTTTGCACCGGAGTTGAGAGGGTTTATCAGTAGTTTGGTAGTAATTCGCTTTGTTTCTTCCGTGAAGCAGATCACAGTACATCGAAATATGACACCCTTCAGAAGGATTTTTTGCTATTACTATTGGCACTTTTGGACCTGCACACTCATGCAGTAGGAGCCTGCACGTCGAGTTCTAGATATCATTTCTCATTTTACTTGTTGTCCTCAAGAATACAGCTCGATATACGACGGCCACCACGACCTCTTGAATTCCAGCCAGCCCAATGGGGCATAACATATAGACTCTTTGACGTTCTACATCGTGAACGACGCCGCCCCTACCAGAATACTGGGCAATCACCATAGCTCACAAGACTCTAAAATTGCTGACTCTGGTAGTTTAAAAAGCATTACTTGGTGGCCTTTGTTGACTCATCAGACCACTTGCCCCCAACTTTTCAATCAACAAGCTTGCGACTTAATTTTCGCGGAACAAACCGATATGAAGCAGCAGAAGAAGCTACAATCTTACAAAAACATCGCCATGATCGTAACGGGGAAACCCACCGATGACTTTTAAGCAACACTAACACAGTGGATCAGCTATGCTTTTAGTTATGGAGCATAATGTTTTACTGAGTTTTCCAGAGTCTAAACATCATCTACACAAAATCTATCTTCAATAGCTTCGGAATCTAGCTACCAATCATAGCAGACGAAGATCACGAAGCTTAACGGTGAACCTTTATTCCGCGGGATTGTCGTGACTGTTGTCGTTGTTGTAGCGGTTCGCTAACCCCGCTTAGGCACAGGCGTGATCAATCTAAGTCGCCGAGGTCATCTAATGGGAGGTCCAGGAAACGAGCTGTTTCGACGGGGTTAGACTAAAGAGAGTGGGGGGTTAGATGAGTTGGTTTGAGTGGGCATGAAGAGGTGATTAGTGCGTGCGAAGACTTTCTACATGCAGGACATACGTTGGGTATGCTGGGGTCTAGTCTGGATAAGAAGGAATTTAACCTGCTACAGTATCCAGACCTGAGTTGTGTCAGGGTCACGCGGGTCTCCGAGGCAGCTCGAGCTCGATGTCTGCTATAGGTGGTGATTTTTCTCCGAGCACGACATTCACTAGAAGAGAGTCCTTGAAGGTGGTGACTGACTCCTGGTGAATGGCCTCCAGTGTTTGTCTGTACGCCGTCCTGTCCAGCGGTTGTTGCACATTTTGCTGGATTGTGTCCTCAAGATCTAGTACTCCCTTTCTGATATGCTTAGATGGAGGTTCAGCTTCTATTACAGCAAATCATTATGTTCCTTAACTCGTATCATGGGTGCTTCGCTGTGCAAGTGATGCTCCGGCGACATCAGGAGGTTTCCTGTGGCGGTCCTGAGTGTGGCGTGGTGTTCTGGCAAGCTTCTTCATCTGCGTCTCGTTTGTTCCAGACGCCCACATCGGTGCAGCATAGCTTACGACCGGCCGGCCAATTGCCTTATATGTTGCCAGCAAAGTTTCCTTGTCCTCCTCTGGAATTTTGCGGCAATTGCTTATAGTAGTTCTTCTGTAATAATATTTTAGCTAGAAAGTTCGGGGGGTTAGATAACCTTACGGAGTTATGAGCATATTAAAAAGTAAAACTTTGTTTTCTAGACTTAGTTTGGACTTAGAGCCGACAATCCAATGTAAGTTCGTAGTTTTCAGTTTGGTTTGAGTAATCTTTTTTTCCATGTGGTTTTTCCAAGTGAGTCTTTTATCCAATGCAGCTCCCAGGTAGGTAACGAATTCTTTCTGAGGTATTGTATTCCCATTTATAGAGATTAAAGGACATGTGTCTTTTTTAGGGTAAATGGTACTTGTATACTTAGGCTCATTGAATTTAATTCTCCAACTCCTCTATTACTTTTAAATGTTCTTGTAATCTGTAACTGGCTGCCATGGGGTTTGAATGTACACTAAGTATTGCTGTATCACCCGCAAAAGTTGATGTGATGAGGTTTCGGTTTATGGGAATAAGAAAGCTTTCTAAGACATCGAGGAGCACTGAAGTACAATATTGGTTGTTTTCATGTGTGCTACGATTCTATGCACCTGCTCTATTGTGCTGTGTTTTTCTTTAAGCTCGAGTTTTCGGTATGATATGGTCTGCTTCCTTTCTAAAATCGGTAATATTTTTTTAATAAAAGTTTTTCGAAGATTTTTGAGAATACCATAATTAAGCTAATAGACCTGTAGGGGCCCACCAAAGATGGATCTTTACCTGGTGTGGGGATCACAATAATCTTCGAAAGCTTACAGGATTTAGGAAAATAGCTATACTATTATATACTATTAAATATACAAAACATGTGTTTAATTTCCACATTTGGAAGCTCTTTTATCATATCAAACGTTATCCTGTCGTATCCAGGAGCCTTCTTTTTCTTTATGTCGTTAGTCATAATTTCTTTAAGTGACTTAAATTAAATTTAATAAAGTTTTCAGCTGGATCTGCAAAAAATTCTAGAAGGGATTTGTATCCAATATTTGGTGTAAATACAGCGGAAAGACACATGGCAAATGAGGTACCCTTTTCCTGGTCACTTCGAGACCACTCACCAGTGAGTTCTCAATGGAGGGTCGCAAGTGACGGGACTTTTGAAACTCTTAACTTTTCGCCATAAAGAGTAGTTAGTATTAGAAGTAGCTGATAGAGATTGTACGGTCTTTTGAAATTCGTTTTTGTTTCAGGACATCCTGAAGCTTTTTATACGTTTTCTAAGGCCGGGGAACGAAACCTCTGCCAATCTCTCCTAAGTTCTCTTTATTTGGTTACCAGACTTGTAATGTCTTTACCCTGAAGACCATTAAAATTTGTCTTCTATGAGTGTTAGATGGGTCGAGCGTTGAAATTTTCGCTGCCAGATGTAGTAATGTTGTGAAGCCATCAACTGAATTGTCGACATCTGCTATTGATTTGCGAGGAATGAGCGGTTTTAGATGCCAATTTGTAAATTTATTGGTTAAGCCTAGCTGTAAGTCATTGAGAGTTGGAATTATGTTAATGGAACATAGACAAGGCGAGTGATCAGATGATAAGTCGAAAAGGAGTTTTACCCTTACTTGTGCTCTAGTGATACCACAAGTTATTCCAAAGTCAATCAAATCTGGGGTTTTGCTGAGATCAGACGGCCAGTATGTTGGCTGACGTCGAAACCGTTATTTTGAAAGGCTTTATATAAATTTCTACTCTTTGGAGATATTAGCCTAGATCCCAAGAAGGAATGTTTTGCGTTTTAATCACCTGCTACTAGAAACCGTTTACCTAGTTTAGAAAAGAAATCAGTAAATTGAGTTTCTGATATGTTGTATCGGGGCGGACAATATATGGTGGAAATGTTTATTCCACCAGAATTATAATAAATATGAACTGAGGTAGCGTGAAGGTAGTCTTTACAGTACACTTCCATTATATAATTTTTAATTTTTTGCCTGATAAGTATTCCTGTTCCACCCCGCGCTTTTCCTTCATGGTGTTTGGTGTCATAAAACAAAAATGTATCAATATTGAAGTTGTTAAATTTGTTCAAATGAGTTTCGGAGATTAGCATTATATCTATTGCTTAATTTTCTAAGAAGAGTTGAAGTTCATTTTTGTGTTGGACCAAGCCGTTGGCGTTACAATAAAATATCCTAAGGTCGTTTATGGTTTAGACAGAATCGCTTGAAGGAGGAGATTTTGATTTCAATTTAAATCTTGCATCATACTTTGCATTGATGTCATTTAAAGCTTGGGCGTATGATACAAAGTTGGTATTAGTAGGCTTTGTTTCGGCAGCTTTTGCTTGAGGCTGAGTTTGAGGCTGAGAGGCAGGAATGTTGCTAGAAGCCCTTTTGCTGTCCTTGTCTTTTAGGGAAATATATAATGGACAACCCCTATGATTGGCGGTGTGATTTTCACCGCAGTTGCTACATTTTTTAGACTCAGGGGCTGTATTAGGTTTCATACAGTCTTTTGAACTGTGTAAATCTAAACAAATGACACATATACAATAGTTTGTAGAAGGCAATATCGTTGGCACTGAGCAGGACCTGTTCGCTTACGTGGTTCTTCCACGGAAATACGGCGGTGAAGAAGGTACTGCAGTTTGTAAATGGGTTGAACTTCGCCCTTTTTTGAGAGCTGGAAATCTGGCTCAATAACAACCCTAAACATTGGCTGAGGTATGTTAGCCTTATTTTTAATGTTGAATACGTTTCTAACCCTGAAACCTTCTTCTTTCAAAGCACTTTCAATTTCCGAGGGACTTACACTGTGTTCAATGCCCTTTAGGATAACTCCTAAGCTACGACTACTTTTGAGCTGATTTTTCGAA